ATAAAGATATTGTTAGGCTGCCTGAACGGGGACCTCGGGATCATTCTAATCAATGGTTCAAGACACCGAGTGATATGGCTGAGTGCCGTAAACGATGGCGTTCGTTCATTTTCTCAATATCTTTGCAACCTTATTCCACTGAAATTCTCCATTTTCTCTTCAACTCTATGTAATAGTCGAAATAGGTCCAGATTATGAATCACGAATCACGGATGCAACTGAAGCGCTGAATCGCCCTAGCAATTGCAAGCCAAAATCTCCCGTTACCGGGAGGCGGGAAAAGGCCACAGAATCAGCAATTAGTTCATTGAAAGAAATTACTGGTAATAAATAACATGTACAGAGGAAGTTTATTGGTTATACAGATCTCCGTCAATGGTCTGCCTGTATTCTTGACGTCATACAGCTTCTGCCTGGACCGCACTACTTCTGATTGGTTGGCACGATCGACCTGTGATTCGTTATCCAGAAACTGTAACGCGTCACTCCATAGCTGGCGTTATCTCCCAGGCCAAGATCACCCGACTACTGCAACCTTCCGGTCGCTCTCTTACTGCTTTATCCTAACGAGCAGCCAAAAGACAGCAGCCAAAATTCGTGCATGAGCGTGCATAATTAATAATTGTACAATCTGATCTGCGTAGGTCGGAAAAAAAGAGAACTTCCAACATCACAAGTATCATTAGATCTAAAAGTATACATCCCTCAAGTACCAAGCCAGGAACTTCCCCCTAGACTTGAATTGAAAATTGTGCCTCAAATCAACCCAGAAAACCAATCACATACACCATTCAGCTGCCACATTTCGTATGTTCTAGTCCCTGTCTATCTGCAGATTGCTGTGAAAGATTCTGAGTCAACTCAGTTTTGGTTCCACTCTCTCTCTCTGTCTTAGATAAACTTCTGCCATAAGTTAATCCCACTTTTTGGATGATTTTGGACGGAATACGGGAATTTTAGAATGCGATATATTTGTTGGTGATACATCATCAATTTGTGTGGTCGCTCGAATTCATATCGCCAGGACTGATGAAAGACTTTTCCTGCTGACCACCGCTTTCAGTTAGCTGATCGATGCTAATACGGTCACGTGCAGTCGCGTGACAGATGGGCGAGAGGAATTGCGGTCGCTTTGCAGACGGATGCCAATCAGGGATGCATTTTCAACTAGTATGCATAAAGGAAATACACGTGACTAGAGTGACCCGGGTTCTGTAGATTCACATGGTAAACCTGCAATATCGAAACGAGTATCCGATCCTGAACAGTGTATTTTTCTCAAGTTATCATACGGTTTGAATCCACTGACCAGTTTTTGGAAACTCATTGAGACTCGATCAAATCAGACGCTCTTCGGATTTGGTTCTTCTGTCGAAGATGTCCGATACTTTCTGTGTGTCTCAAGGGGTTGAGAAAAATGAATACACCTCAAATCAATTTATCAACTTCCTCCGGTCTGGCCGAGTTTGCTAGCAAGGGATTATCAATACGGTGATTAAGCTTCTCACTTTGATGTAACGCCTTCTCCATGAAAGACATTGGAATTGGACTGTCCCAGTAACTGATGCACGTCCTAGTTTCTATGGTTCATCTAAAGCAGCCTAAGATATTGTTTTGAACTGACTGTCCTTCGGACTTCCCTCTCATGCACAATCCTCAGTTCATCCAGTCAACCATACACTCGCAAGCATGAGATTCGAGTTTCGCTCTCATTTGGGCTCATCAGTAGTGCATATCTACCGTCCCAACTTGGTTTTGAACTTCGGACCCATTGCATGGAGCGCGCGTGTTAGTTAACACTGTGCTTTCCTTCGTTGATATCGGACCAATAATAAACTGACTAACTAACACTGCAGATAACACCTGAACAAACAGGAATACGCGATTCGGTTCAGTCCCGATAGTGGTGAAAAATTTACAGCTCAGATATGGAATATATTTAATGCGAAGCATCGTAAAAACTCATTCTTTCTAATAACTGATTCCTTTTTCATGAGAGTATTTATTGAACTAAAGACACGTATTCTTAATTGCTTATCTCTTTTAAATCAGTGTATGGCAAACAAGTGAATTAATGAAAATATTCTCGCTTGGATAAATTGATAAATTATTTGGCTACCAACTACTCACATTTTATCCCCAATACCAAAAGAACTGAAAATATATTCGAAGAAACATACACGTTGACCTTGAAATGTGCGGCTCCTTGAATAAGCGTCTTGTAGAAGCAAATATATGAAGTGGATATTCTTACAGATACGTTGCATCTGATGTGAGGCAATAGCATATTCAATCCCGTGAATAAGACTCGGAACACTTGGCGTTGGGAGGAAAAAATGTGATGAAAGTCAGGCTGTTGCACGAGTTTGGTCGCTTTCTGTATATGCTTCTTCTACTTCTTACCATTGGTATTTTTTCGCACAACCCAACCCTACCCCTCATCATCTAGTTGTCGATAACTACAGTCATCCGTTTGCCACTGACGCTTGCCAGTACAGCTGTGAACACAAAGATGATGGGACAGGAACCAGTCCAAGCTATGTGCGTCGCAATTTGCTCGTGATCCCATTTCGTGATCGATATGAACATCTACGAGAACTGATTCCCCGGTTGGAATATTTGTTGAACAAGCAGAATATTTGCTACTTGATAGTTGTGAGTGAACAGGTTCGTAAGTCAGAGGAACCCCTCATTTGGTTTACGATTGTTGATCAGTTTCAGTTTGTACCGCGCATTCTCGTGTAGCTGGTTTTCATGGTTATCGTTTGAGTATCTAAATGTGACCACCCCTGGAAGAGGATAGATAGGTTATGTAGTATTGTGTATTTTTATGACGAGTTAGAATTAAGAATCAGACCTGAAAACTTCAAAACTTCCCGAAAAGTGATTTCTGTTGGTAACAATTTGACTGGGTTCCAAGGGGACGATTTCTAACAAGTCTGATTGAACACATACGGATTTTAGTACTTCTCAGCTTTGGGTAACGTACAAATTGTTGACCAATTACGGTAACCTATTTTGATGAATTCGCATTTGATAGTTCAGATAAGATGCGAATATAATATAAGCTTTCGGATCAAAATTGTTTCCAGTAATTTTATGAAGAAAAAACCCAGATGCACGAGTTTTCAGCTCACTGTTCCTTTGATGTGCATACGCGGAACATTAATTTAAAACCGATTTAAATCCTTCAAAACTTCCATTTCAGATATCGGATTTGGTTGTGAAATTGTGGAGGTCCGATCAAATTTTTTTCCACTTAGTATATATATACACAGCAAATGAAGTGTGAACTGAAAATCTAGGAAGCCCACTGTACAGCTGGTTCGGCCTAGTTTGGTCTCATCAGTTGCAGTGTGCGAATCCATCGACTCGACTGGGGATCAAACTCAGGACCTCAGTACACGCTTTATTTGATCTATCTATTATACGACAAATTCCCTCTTTGAAATTGAATTCATTCCTCCATTACTGTCATATAATACATTACACAGTCCATAAATTTGATCTACCGGTCGCGTCTTTCACGCCGCGTACTTATCAGGTACAACACTCTATCGCACATCTATCAGTTACGGTTGCCTGACGTCAAACGTCGCATGCATCCGCATTGATTCCCAGGCACTTATGTACTCTCTCAAATTATTTGACATTGGGAACCGGTCTTTGTATCGGTTTTGCGCGGAATCTATACTGGTCATTGAGTGCTCGGATTTTATTCTTGGTTCGACTTAAAGACAAAAGACAACATATGTGAATGCCTTCGGTAGACTGTATGGACGAACTACAGTGGAATTGTCAAAGAATTTCTGTCACGGCCAACCGAGACTGAAGGGAAGGTTTTTCGTCTTTGTAGGAACTTATCAGCATTGTGTATCATCGTTTTATCCCCGCTAGAACACAAACAACAAACCTGAAAATGGTGCATTGAAATCTGTAACGCAAACGTGATTTGTCAACGGCGAGGGAATTAAAAGCACAGCAACACAAATCAAATATGAATTGAAGCAAAAAAAACAAAATCTGACGTTTCTGGGATCTCTCATCAAGTTATTCTTGAAATCTACCGATTCGGATCTTTCATAACGGCTTTTTGATATTTGGTTATTGCATCTGAACCTTTGTAATACCCACAGCCTCTTTCCTTATCGATCTTAATGAAAGAAACTGATCATGCGTCCAATGAATTATACATCAAAGTTGTTTTTCACCATCAAAACAGATTTATTATCCGGTTTATCTCCGCGCTATTCAAGTCTATTCTACAACTCTCCAGAATTTATTACGCCCACATGTCTGGATTGTCAACCTAGGATCATCCAAATTAATCATCTGATCTTGATCAGCAGTACCGCTTTGTGATTGAGCTCAGGATTACTTGCCCATACGGATTTCAACTGATTATTATATTTTATTTTTGTGGGCGATCTTTCAGACTTCATCGTCAAGCATGATTTTCAGTTTGTTCGTTTAGTGTGTGTGGTCTATTGATGAGTTGAAGTTAAAGTTTGAAATTTAGCAAACCAGAAATACCAATGATAATACTCATATGACACATATTATATATTTGGCTTTATAATGTCTTCGATTGAGTGATGTTTATAGCTGCAGTCAAATGAGTGTAGGGAAAACTTTGAACCATTCGAGAACAGCTTGTGGTGCTGACTGCTCAGGAATTAAGTCTGAAGGTTTGTTAATTTCAACATTGTATAGTTCTGTTTCGACTACTAATGAGTAGTGTATACTCAAATACAGTAAATTCGCTTCGTTTCAAACGTTTCCTGAGGGACTATGAAGAATGATGAAACCAAGGAAAGAAAGCATGGTGATGGTATAGTAAATAAAGAGAAATATGCAAGTAATAATGAAATCCTTTCTCCATGATAGTACCCTGTTCAGATGAGACAAAAAGTAAATAACTATGGTTTACACGTAATATGGTCGATGTTCGTAGACCTCGGGGACACTAACGTCATGCATATGAGGTTTTCCACAGATCCGTGTGGTGAGAATTTCCACGGACGCAAGTCTTCCACTAACTTACTCACTCCCGGATCAAACCCTTATGGAGGCATCGCAACTTTAACTAACAAAACCTCGTCCTAATGTATAACACCCAAAGTTACTTTATGAGGGTCCACTTTCAAAATGTGACTGGTGCTAGTAGAAATTTTCGGTCGACATGAATCACTTGTTCTCTCCTTCCCTTATCCAGGTTGGAACTGAACCATTCAACAAGGGTAAGCTTATGAATGCGGCTTTTGTGGAAGCCTTACAATGGTTTCCATTTCACTGTATCACCTTACATGACGTGGACCTTCTTGCTTTATCAGACGACACTCCTTATACTTGCCCCACGTTTCCGCAACACACAAGTGTAAATATTGATAAATTTCACAGCAGGTAGGTCTAATTGTCCGAATTTTTGCGATATATATTTGTCAAATGCGTGCAATAGTCTTTTTGGCGTATATTTTTGTACCACTAAGAGTAAACTTCGCCAAACTGAATGTATTCTGCATTGATGGTATACACTTCCACAGATTACCCTATATCGAACTGGTCGGGGGCATATTGTCCTTGCCAATCAAAGTCTATCTACGTGTCAATGGATTTTCCAATCTGTACTGGGGTTGGGGTGCTGAAGATGACGACATGTATGAACGGTAAGCGTTGAAACACGTAAACATGATTGATTATAACTAATTGTGAAATCCGTTGTGCTGCGCGAACAGAGGTGAGGTGTCTTGCCCACAACATGTTTACAAATTTGGCTATAATCTCTATATAAAAGTGAAACTATTTGGCTAGCTAATTTGATGAATACGTGGGTAGTATGTTTGCATTCTACCCGTTAGATTTTGGGTCCGATATCTCGTATGTTATAATTCCACAAGGCGCTGCCTGGTCAAAGATGGTCGTTTATTTTAGTTGGGATTTCAACAATTTGGCCAACGGATAACTGATACCTCATTGGAAACATATCATTGCAACTCCGGGTAGCACACCGGGTAATGAATGGATCAGTCCGTAGTTATTCTCTGGGGCACGGCAATTCGCCTTCAGTGGTCTTGTTAATTTTTGATCGTTGGAGGATACCGCCAACTGCACTATTTTGCATACTAATCACTAATGTGAGTAGTAGCTCACAACACTTGGGGTCGATTAAATCGCACAGTTGATGAGATCCACCTGGATTGAAAGAGTTTCACATTGCTTATGAGCTTTTCAGTTCGTGCTCCATTCGCTCTGTGCTCTAACGTAATCCACTGTATAATTAACTTTACACTGACTATTCATAAATGTTCATTTCTCTCATCTTTTCGTGGTAGAAATGCTAAACTTTTCAATGGAATTTCGATAAGCTTCCTATTGAAACGATACAATATTACTTGATGTGACGCCTCGGAATCCTTTCGGATGGTGATAGAGCAACGTCATGCTACATACGCTTGCACCTAGTAAATGAGTAGTACCCATCCAGTAAGATCAACAGAAGAATGTTTGAGCTGTTTATTATGCATGACAGTCACATCTGGACAGCTCCTGAGCTATATTATTATTAAATGCACGAAAATAATAACGCAAGATAAGTTGATAAAAATCGATTAACTGTTTATCAGTTTCACTGTACATGTACCCACGGATTTCGATCTTTAATGGTTGTCGCTGGTTACACACTAAAGATGATGATAGCGTTGTGAAACATTTGAATTAGGCTCACGAACAGTTTCTTTGTCTGGTTTTACTGAAATCCTGCATCACGGAACCAAAATGGAACGGTCTGAAGGGAGGGAGGAGGGAGTTGTCAAGCTACCATAATAGGTGACAATCAGACTTGGCCAGTCGTTCTTCTGTTCCTGCACTCCTCCTAACCACTTGCTTAGTGGATAATTGTGTAATATGAAAATTCTATTGTGTTGGTCTCACCTGACACTTGTATCTCCGAGTAATAGTTGATCACGAATTACGAATCACGTATCAGAAATCACGGACACAGCGTAAGCACTGAATCACACTGGTACTAGCTTAACGAGAAGGCGAGTCGGTTGGCAAAACGTTTATTGATCCGATTTAAGAACAACCGGTGTGTGCGTTTGATTATATACAATCAGTTATCATCCGCGCTGCAGGATAATTCATGCCTCATTCTGTTGGCCCATTCCTGATAGTTTTGGTCCGCAATTGGCACGTACGTTTCTTCTTCCGCGTGTCGTTTCGACTGGTTTGACTCGATCATAGAGGGACGTACGTTGATCGACAGCTCTGACGTTGTCGTATTCGGTGGATATCTTCCTGGCTAGATGCAGATTGTCCGTCGGGCTGTAATTGTCCATTCGTTGGTTTCGAGTGGTAGTCGCATTGTCTCGCGAAGTACTTCCAGCCGCTAATTCTGCGCACCTGGTTGGATCGGCCCTATTCTTGATTTGTTCGCTAGCCAGGACTCTCTTTGTACCACCTTCCATCACAATAGCACTACAGTATCACACGTAAGGGAGACGCAAGCAAAAGACCACAGGAATAGAAGTTCGTTTGTCGGAAGAAATCAAGGGGGTTTAAATAATATGAACAAAAGAAGTTCATTGGTCATCCAAGCCTATGCCAATCGCGTGCTAGTATTCCTGGCATCTTACAACATCTGTATGAGCCACACGGCTTCTGATTGGTCGGTACAATCGTAGCCTAGAATCTGTAACGCGTAGAAGCTTTGTTGGCGACACCTGGGAAGCTTGACTCATTACAGTTGTCCGGAAACTGTAACGTGTTGCTCCATGCTTTGCGTAATCCCTTAAGCTAGGATCACAACACTCCGATCGCTATGAACAGTTGGTAGATCCGTCTGATTCAAATGGGTTCATAGTAGAGAGAAGAAATCAATCGGAACATTCAAGAATACGGGATCAAGATCCTGGGTCTGAATAAAACGGGTTCGTTCGCACACTTCGGACTAGTGAATCATA